CTCAACAAAATGCAGGAAATTTAAACCATGCAATTCATCTTTTCAAACCATCCTGGAGAGGAAGTAGACCACCATGTCAACATACCCCAGAAGACATGCAAATACTTGGAGAATGAACAATATGCTGCTAAAGGTGTAACAGAAGAAATCAAAGAGGAGATCTTAAATTTGCTAGAAACAAATGAAGGCATCAACCAACATATCAAAGTTTGTGGGACACAACTAAAGCAGTGCCAAGAGGAAAGTTCATAGCAGTGAGTGCCCATGTGAGGAAACTAGAAAAGGAAGCAGGTGAATGAGCTTACTGCACACTGAGCGAGATAGAAAAAACAAAAAGAAATCCACCTCAAGATTAGCAGGAAGAAAGAAAAGAAATTTATCAAATAGGTAGAATAAAAAGGAATACATAAGATGAATGAAGAAAAGAACTTGCTCCTTGAAAAAACCATCAATATATGTAAACCAATAGCCCACCATATGAAAAAAAAAAAGGTGGTGGAGAGAAGAAACAAAGCAAATATATTAGAGCTAAAAAATGACAACAGATATTTTAGGCACACATAGAATAATCAGGAACTATTGAAAGCATCTATGTAGCAGCAATCAGAAGGCTTAGAATAAAAGGGAAAGACTTTTGGACACAAATAATTTGCTGAAACTGGATGCTGAAGTACCCAAAACGGAACTAAAACAGAATATGAACTCAATCAGCAATTAGCTCACTGCCAACAGTGAAAAGACCAGATACACATGGTTTTGGTGCTGAATCCTATCAACTATTTTAAGAAAAATGGCCGCATTTCTTCACAAACTATTCAAAATAAAAGAAAAGGAAGGAAGGAATCCTTTCAAACTCTAAGAAGCCAACATCACCTTTATACTAAAATCAAATAAGGACATAACAGAAAGAGAGCTACAGACCAAAATCCATGATAAACTGGATGCCTAAATCCTCAACAAAATACTAGCCAGCAGAATCCAACTCTACAAGAAACAGATCATTTACCAGGACTGCATGGTATTCATTACTAGCATGCAAGGATGGTTACACACACACACACACACACACATATATATATATGTGTTATATATGTATGTTAAACCATCCTTACATGCATGATGAATATGATGAATGAATAAAAGAACTTGATACACCACATAAACACACTGAAGAATAAAAATCATATAATCCTCTCAACAGATGTAGAAATGTATTTGATAAAATCCAGCATGAATTCATGCTAAAAACCCTCAGCAAGATAGACATAAAAGGAACATTATACAAAGCAGTCCATGCATTATAGGAAAAACCCAATGCCAGCAAATCAAACCAGGGAAAGATTGACAGTAGTCCTGTGATAATATGGAACTAGACAAAAATGTCCACTTTCACCACTCTATTCAACATAGTATTGGAAGTCCTTGTAAGGCCCCAGCAAGATAGGTAATGGGTGGTGCAGGAGGAGGCTGAGAAGGGGGACCGATAAGGCCGCACTGGGAGAAGGAGGCTTCTCAGATAGCAGTGAAATGAGGATTCACCAAATAAGGAATGTTCTTTTATCCTTCAGCCCCAACCTTGATAGCTCCCTGATGGAAATATAACCTTGCATCCCCTAGGTGCTGCCTCCTTGGCCTGCTGTCCCTACATAAACAGTGAACCTTGCCCAGGAGCACTCTCAATAGTTGTTTTAAGCTGAACTTTATTCTGTGTGCATTTCTGGTTCTGAACAAAAACTTATGCCTTACAGGCCTGACTAGAAGAATTAAGTATGAAAACTAAATTGTAATTCAAATTGGAAATGAGGAAATCAAATTGTCCATGTTCAGGACAATATTCTATACATAGGAGAACCATAGACCCAATAAAAAGGGTATCGTAAATCATAATAGAGTTTGCAAAGGTAGCAGTATAACCATTGGAAAAAGGTATGCATATAAGAAAAACGTGTATGCAATGGAATACTACAAGCCCAACACAATGAACAAAATGCTATCATTTGCAGTACTGTATTCCTAAATGGAGCCTTTTACGCTCAGTGAAATAAATCAGTTCCGACACATATACCATGTCTCCTCTGTGATACTTACATTATACAAAATACAAAGTGAATAGACAAGCATAGATGAGCAAGCATATCTATATCTATGTATATGTAATTATGAATGTTCATAGGTGAATTGTATAATGGAGACCCACATACAAGGAAGTAAAGATACATCGCAGTATGCATCACTACTCCCAATTAAAGGGCTCCCAGAGAAACTGTGATGTATATTTGACAATAGGATACAGGATTTTCTATTATTGCCTGTATCTGCAATGCACTGAAACACTAGAACATTCTAAATTTGAACTTATGACCATTGCTGAAGAACTATATCATTGCAAAAATTTACAGGAAAGGGCCCGGTGGCGTGGCTTAGTGACTAAAGTCCTTGCCTTGAACATGCCAGGATCCCATGTGGGCGCCAGTTCTTATCCCGGCAACTCCACTTCCCATCCAGCTCCCTGCTTATGGCCTGGGAATGCAGTTGAGGACGCCACAAGGCTTTGGGACCCTGCACCCACGTGGGGACCCGGAAGAGTCTCCTGGCTCCTGGCTTGGGATTGGCACAGCACCGGCCCTTGTGGTCACTTGGGGAGTAAATCATCGGATGGAAGATCTTCCTGTCTGTCTCTCTGCTTGTGTATCCGACTTTGTAATAAAAATAAATAAATTAAAAAAAAATTAGGGGAAAATTCCAAGGGGTTAGGTGGAGAAAGTTGAGGGAGAACTAGGAGGTGGAAGGGGAATCTATACCTACAAAACTGTAGAAAATAACAGAATATCCGAAAGAACCTTTTTCTCTTCTCATATATGTTGGGTATGCTATGTTTGGCCTTTCAAAACTCTTAATTTAGGAGTATATGTTGAATAAGTGATTAGGACTTGCCATATAAAACAAATTGAGGATGTTTGATTTGAATTGGTTCATTAAATTCATTGGATGCATTCACATGTGGACTTATTGGTCATATGCTTCCTGATACAGTATGTTAAAAAAAAGTGAGGGATTCTTTTTCTAGTAATTTCCATTGTATTGATACCAACATTACTGTTCTTAGATATCTCTCTTATCATTGAATTTTTTATGTTTTATTTGTTCATACCCATATTCTACAATTTCCGTTTTTATTAATTTATGTACTAATTTTCATCTTTCATTTTCCCATGCAGTAGTGTTGCATGGTAATCCTGTGCCTACATTGGCACTATTCCATACGGGTATTCAGTTGTGCCCCTTTGGCTCCTCTTCTAGTCCAGCTGCCTGCTTATAGACTGCAAAGCCGGCAGAAAATGGACAGTTCAAACCTTGAGCCCTGGGCACCAAGTGGCAGACCTGGGAGAAATTTGTGGCTACCAGCTAAAATCACTTCTTCTCTGGCCTTGGTAGCCATTTGTGTCAGAACATGGAAAATCTCTTTCTATCTCTATTTCTCTCTTAAATATGCCTTTCAAATAATAGATAAAGACAGGAATACATCAATTTATAAATCCAAGTAAAGGAAAAAAGGACTCATATTAACTTCTCACATATGTCACCCATATTGTAGTTTTTTACCCTATTCAATATGTAGTCTCTGCTTAAATTTATGTTGATGCTTTGTATGAATTCCCCGATTGGAAAATAGTCCTTTATTATATAATTAATAATGAATTTATGGATATTGATTCTCCTAATTTCCTGCATGTATATACTCTAATTCCTTGGTGGCTAAAAGGCATTTTTTCTGTTTTTAAAATAATTTGCCTTTTTACATTTAATATCTCTTTGTGAACATTAATTGTCACCTAAGCATTTGCCATTCTTCATTCATTAATTATGTTTTTCATTAGAATCACAGAAATATCTTTTTCATCCAAAAAATCAACATGTAGCGTGTAGGTTCTTTTTTTGTAATTGGTTACTCTGACATAATATTCCCAGGTAATTGAGAACAATGCCAATAAACAATACCATCATTTTTTGCAAGATATTTTTAAGTTGTGATTTAAACTCTAGGGATTTTTTCTACTTTACATTCTCCTCTTCAAGAATTAAAAATTATGCCTAATTTCCACTTGCTGTATAATCATTCAAACTGCGTTTTTTTTTTTTTTTTGATTGTTCATTTTCTGCTTTTCGTTTTCCTTCTCTTGAACCTGATTTATTCAAGATTCATTAATAAGACTTATTTTATTTTTTTCCTTTGGGAAATTAAAAATAAATAAGAAAAGCATATTTGGTTTGAGTAAAAGAGTAGAAAACAAACCATTCAAACTTTGTTTTCCTGAATTCTTCATTATTTCTACTATGGCCAACGGGGTGAAAAAAATAATTTCTGATTTCTGTATGGAAATTAGATACTTTATTTGAATATTACACAACACATGACATGATCCTATACTGATATAAAATGATTATGCATAGGAAAAATTCAGAGAAATAAAATAAATTCCTGAAGAAGATAATAAATTCCAATCATAAGTCAAAATACTCAAGAACCAAAGAAGGGTAAATGTTGAGAAAGCATCAACAAAACCTACAAGCAAGAAAAAAGGGAAGAAATTCCTGAAATTAAGAACAAATACACTTGTAATGAATAAAAACATTATATGTTTTACAAAACAAAGTTTGGAATATTTAGATCAAAGTCTAATTTGATGAAGAATTATAGGTTTCTGAATGTTTCTATATGCATTGCTCCCCACTGAAGGCCTCAATTGGAGAAGAGTCCAAATTCGGACAGCACACAAAACATGCATTCATAACATATCTAAGGTTTGCTCTCATGACTGAAAGCAAGCAAATTAACTAGATTACTCACAAAATGAGCCAATCACAGCAGCACCTCTGCTGGGTCACACCCACAGTGAGGACCTATAAAAGGCCTCCTGCAAGCAGCATTGTGCAGACTCAAGTCACCTACACTCCTCCTCCTGCTCCTCCACCCAAGGACAACCTCAACACCCAACACCATGTGTGGCTACTACGGAAACTACTATGGCGGCCGTGGCTATGGATGCTGTGGCTATGGAGGCCTGGGCTATGGCTATGGAGGCCTGGGCTATGGCTATGGAGGCCTGGGCTGTGGCTATGGCTCCTACTATGGCTGTGGCATCCGCAGGCTGGGCTGTGGCTATGGCTGTGGCTATGGCTATGGCTCACGCTCCCTCTGTGGCTGTGGCTATGGCTTTGGTTCTGGGTATGGATCTGGCTTTGGCTACTATTACTGAAGACACTAATGGAGATTTCCAAACTCCACTCCTCTGACATTGACATTCATCAGTTCTGATCCCATGTTTCATCAGCTTTGTACCTAGAAGAAGATTCCTACAGTGGAAGTCTAGTATGGTCTTACATTGCCCTAAGACCTGACATGCCCCTTATTTCCATTTTCCTTATGAAGTGGGATGAGGGCAAAACTTCACGTGAACCCTCTCCATTCTCCTTTGATCATGATGATGTTTTCACAGTCACTGCCTTGATGATGTATATGCTTTATTTTATTTGTCTTTTGATTCAATAAACTTCTTTAATCCAAATATCAACCTTTGTTTTTATTGCAATAATTTAATACCAAAGTGTCCATACTGATATTCTTTTGCTTTTATCAGGAAATATTTCAACTGCTCTTTAAGACTATATTTAATTTACTGCTTAAATGTAAACATCTTTACCAAATTCCAGTTTGATTGTAGAAGGATGACATTACAGTTTAAACTCTTAGTGTTTTTTAAATTTTCCTGCTTTCCTTTTTAAATTTTTTTATTTTCTTTAATTTTTTTACTTCTTTTTATTATTATTATCATTTTATGAAACAGTTCCGTACACCCTGGGATTTCCCTTATTCCCTCCCCTACTCCCTCCCCCATTGCTGAGTTCCCCTATACCATTACTATATTATAGTTCTTCATATGCAATTATATGTCCATCATTGCTTGCTGAGAGTCCAGCATCCTAAACAGTTTCATTGGGAGTCTACCTTTGTCCAGAAGTAGAGATGCATACTGCATTGTATCCTCACATTTGGATATGTTAATCTACATTACACAGTTACTATACACCCCCTTAAATGAAAAGCCACAATGCAATCTTTTCTACTGCATAATTCTAATTTGCGGGCTTCTGTGCAGTAGGTGTGAATAACACTAAGCTGTGAAGAGAACAGCTCCCTGCTTTGCAGGGCCTTGGGAATTTCCGGTGTTTGGTAGGGTCCAGCGGATTTCTCTGTGAGCACCTTGACACAGTTTCACCCCCTTTTTCCATGGACACTCAACCACCCCACTAAGAATTCTGTAATCTATTGAGGCATTGTTTATCCCTGTGAGATGTCTTTTGCAACGAACATGAGCTTGAGAGTTAATGTTAATGTTATTTAACTGCATACAGGAGTACAATTAAACCCATGCCATTTCTGGACACCTCATTGTGTGCCTACCTATTGCCCTGAAATCTGGCCCAGGCGGAAGTATGGCTGAAGCTGCTATGACAAAAAATATAGTTACTGGGGCCCTAAAGGCTATCCTGTTACTGGGACACTAAAGGCCATCCTGTTACTGTAACCCTAAAGGCCATCCTGCTATGATAAAAATGTAGCTACTATAACCCTAAAGGCTATCTTGCTATAGCAAAAAAAAATATATATATATATATATTGTTACTATGACCTTAAAGGTTAGTTTGTACTTTCAACTCTTTAGAGCATAGAAAATATAGTTGTTTTAGCTGATTTCATAATTTTTTAACTAGAAGAAATATAGGGCCATTTTATTAACATCACAGAGATAGACTTTTGATTATTGTTTGATTGTTTATGAGGTTGTAGAGCCCGCAGTTGTAAGGGCATTTATTGTTTAAAACTTTTTGTCTTAGAACTTTATATTTTTTCTCATTTGATGCATTTCTCCCATTAAGTGGTAGATAAGCTGTGAGAATAATTGTAGTAGGAGTGTATTAATGATTAATGCCTGTTGTTTACTGAGGAATTCCTGACTGCAATGTCAGAATGGATAATACCCTCTCTTAAGGTGAAACAATTTGCAGAATTAACTTTGGAAACACCCACTTGTCCATTGTAGAGTTGAAACAAAAATGTAGTAAAAATGGCTCATTGCTAACTGCAATTCTTTTCACTGTTATAAGTCTTGCTTTACTTGTTTAGCTAACAAACTGTGTTAGCTTGCAGGCCTAATGGTCAACATGACCTTTAGTGCCAATGGCCCCCAAATCTCCATAAATCAAGGCTCCATACTTACTAACCCAAAGATAAATCAAGGTAGGGATCTGGTTGTCACGGGTGGTGCCAAGGTTAGAGCCCAGACCTGATGAGAGCAGGTGGGGGCTGGCAAGCCACGATAAACAAGGAATGCATAATCCTTCCTCACTCACCCCTTAAAGCTGTTGTAAATTGTGCCCCCCTTGAAGCTATGCCAAACTGCCTCTAAAGAAAACCTTGTAATTCTACTGCTTGGGACTGCACTCTGTGGTTGAGTAGATGCAACACCATGATGTAAAAGGTCTGTGCTAGAGCTTGTGACTGCTTCTGTATAAATAAAGTGGACAGCTTTCTCGCATTGTCCACGATAATCTTGGAATTGTAGTGATTCATTTCTTTTCTCTCTACATCTGTTTCAAGCACCCTTCTTGAGCTCTGAACTCAGCTGGAGCTGGACTCTGGCACTAATCATGGCATTAAGCTTTACCTACAAGTAAAATTAAGCATTTTATGGATAATGATATGTAAGAGAAAAATAAAAACATTTACAAATTTCATACTCATTATATTGCTTAACTATATTAAATTTTGATGTATTTAGTAACTTGCAGAAAATATACCAACTGCTTTCTTAGGACAATATTTAACTTCTGAAAAATCAACATCTTTACCAAGTTCCAAGCTTAATTTTTTGATAGTGATACAGTTTTAGCAAATTTTGCATTTTTCATACCCATAACAATAAGAATTAACATTACTTACAAATTAGGGTAAATACCATTGGTGCATAATACATAGCATAGAAAATTAACATTCACAATTTTTACACTCACTAAAGATCTTAAAATGAATTACATTTTGACATCTCTTTTAAAAGATTAGATGAAAAGTTGTGTTTTTATAATCTATTGTCTAATGAGATTGTAAAAGGTTATAAAAAATGCTGGCAGCAATACGGCAGAATGAGTTGAGGAGTGTTACAACGAATGTGGAAGCATTAGTGAAGGAGAGCAGGGAGAGCAATCCCTGTTATTGTGAGTGGACAGGCCAGCTGCCCAGACAGAGACAACTGTGGGTCCATGGACAGCACAGGGAAGCAACCGAGATAGTGGAGAGAGCCTGCAGCAAACAGACAACCCAACAGTGAGTAGAGCGTGATCTGTAAACAGGCAGGAACTGGAGGGCAAAAGAGGAGGGAAACTAGAGGAAAAAGAGTTGACTCAAGACTTGAATTGGCAGGTCCTGCTGGTGGCTTCAGTCCAATCTGAAGCTGGCAGAGAGTAGTGGAGAGCCTAGGGATGGCATAGGATTGGGGTGAAGATTGCAGCACAACTCCCCATCACCATCACAGGTGGCATGTGGGGCATTACTTAGATTACAGTGACAAAGGCACAGGAGCATTATGGCAAGCTGTGTATGTGTTAGGACCAGGGAGATCCTACATCTGGCTGCCTACTAATCTTGTATGCAAACTCATACCATGAACACATTTTGCACGTTCCCTCTGGAAAAGAATACCAACTTCGCATCTCTCAGGTTCCATCTAACATGTGTATCCTGGTTGCCCCCTGACCCAACTGTTACCAAGGATGCAGACTATTTCTAATATATCTATATCTATATCTATATCTATATCTATATCTATATCTATATCTATATCTATATCATCTATATCAATGTCCATATCATCTATATCAATATCTATATCATCTATATCTATATGTCACATGAAATGATAAGCCAGTGCTATGGGGTAAATACTTGTATAAAGCAATCTTCAGACAAAATACAACACAAATAGGTTGATGTGTGTAAATATATTTTCAATGACAAACTGAGTAATGGAGACTTGCCTCTGGGAAGTGAAGATATATTGTAGTATGCATCTCTACTCCCAGTAAAAGAACTCCCATTGAAGTTGTTAGATAAACCTTGAAAATATGATACTAGAGTTTTCACCATTGCCTAAACCTACAGTGTTGTGATGCACTTAAACAATAGAATGTTTAACTCATGACTGTTGCTAAAGAACTATACCAATGTTACAATGTGGAGGAAAATTCTAGGTAGATGGGAAAAATTGAGACCTGGGATTGGAGGGGGATCTCTACTTACAAACTGTATCATCAAAAATAATAAATGCTATAAAATAATTTCCTACATATAGCCGATCATAACTGGCTAAAAATAATAATTGGGGTATAGATACACGTGGTGGGAGAGGTAAATGAGGAGGAATCAGTGGATTAGAAAGGAATCCCTATACCTGCAGAATTGTATCCAGGAAAATAATAACGATAAAAAATTTTTAAAAATCTGATTTTGAGCTCAATACTTGTCTTAATTTAGATTCGTAGCAGAACAGCTCACTGACCAGCTGGATGCCCGCACGTGCTGCCCCATGGAGGTCCTCCTCAGCCCCAAGAGATTACCTACAGCCCCAGGCTGCTTAGGCTCCTGCATACTCATACTGATGTTCCAACTCAAATCCAGCAAGGGAGGGAGAAGAGACTCCTCAAAGACAGATGCATCAGTCGTAGCAAACATGAGCCATGCACACAGCTCCACGTAGTCCACCACTTCCACTACAACCTGTTCAACCTGTTGGTTGGAGGCAGGTCACAGGGTCTGCCTGCCCTGCAGAGGAGGAGAGCACGCAGGCTTTCAACAACAGGCAGGAAGCCTGGAGATGTCTGTGCGACAGAAGTGAAACATCAATCCATCCTTCAAAATCAAAATTGAGAAGTTTATTTCATTTTTAATGCTCAGGAAAGATGAACCAAACATTCAGGTTATTTTGTCTCTGATTACTTATTAGAATTCTCTTGGGATATCATCTCGATCCAGGGTCTGTCTGTGGCTCATTTCCTTAGTGATTTTCCTTGTATTTCTTCTAATTATACTGGTACCTTTTTAATTGCTCAAAGTAATGATGTCAAATTTGGTAAGCTGAATTATCCTAGGAATCCAAGTTTCAAGTTGATGTCTGCAAAGATCTGCAAGATGATCTCATATGCTTTTTAAAAATATCTTCAGTTTCCACGTTTATTTCTCTTTTATCATTTCTTGAGTTTCTATCCTTTTTCTTTATCGGACTAGCAATGTTTTCATTAATGTTGGTGCTTTCAAATAACATCCTATCAAATCAGTTTAAATTTTATTGTTTCTGTTCTCTACTTCATTAAATTCTAGGTTAATTTTTTCTTACTTTGTTCTTTCATAGCTTTTTAAAAACAGAATATGCTTGTTTTGTTTATTCTCTTGCTGATAAATAACATTAAGTACCATGTATTTTTCCAACTATTGGTTCACTTATTTTTATAATTTCAGTATTATCTTTACTACCACTATTTGTCTTGAAATTTTCTAATACAATGTTTTATTTTTACATGAAAATTACTGAACTGCTTAATCAAACATCTACTCATGAAATAAATTTCACTTTTTAAAAAAATTGCATTTCTAACTTTATCACATAAATATTAGAATTTTAAAAATAATTTTTGAAAGAATTTTTTATTATTTCTATTTTATAGGTAGAGTTTTACCAAATTATGAGAGACATAGAGAGAGATCTTGTATTCACTGATTCGCTCCACAAACGGCCACCATGGATGCAGCTGAGCAAATCTAAACCAGGAGCAAGAAGATTCTTCTGGGTCTCCCATACATGTACAGGTTTCCAAGGACTTCTGCCATTCACTACTGCTTTCCCATTCAACAAGAAGTGAGCTGGACCAAAAGTGGAACAGCCAAGATATGAACTAGCATCTATATTCAATGCCATTGCCAAAGATGAAGGATTATTCTGTGTACCACCATGGCTGGCTTCATAATTTAAACAACTTTTAAAAGCAGTTTTTCTCTTTACAACCATGTAATGGGGTCCAGCATGATAGCCTGGTGGTTAGTGTCCTCGACTTGGGCACCATGGGATCTGATATGCATGCAGGGTTTAATCCCAGCAGCCCCAATTCCCATCCAACTCCCTGCTTGTAGCCGGGGAAAGCAGTCAAGGAAGGTCGAAAGCCTTGTGATCCTGCATCTAAGTGGGAGACCCGGAGCAGGTTCCTGGCTCCTGGCTCCGGATTGGCTCAGCTCCTGCTGTTGAGGCCGCTTGTGGAGTGAACCACTGGATGGAGGATCTTTTTCTGTGTCTCTTCTTCTCTCTATGTATCTGCCTTTCTAATAAAAATAAATAAATCTTTTAAAACCGTGATGGTTTTATTTGCAGTCTAATGTTATTTTCTTGTTGTTGTGAAAAAGCTGTGGTGAAACTGACATTTAACTGTGGTTAAAATGTATCTCTAAATGCTTCCTTAGGTTTCTGTTGGTGCTCTCAACCTAGGTTTCTGCCTGATATTTTTTGCTCTGAGAGCTGTGGATTAAGATCCTCTTTTATTAATGGACTTTTACCTATTGTCTATGTGCTACTTATAAAATGGTAACAATTTTTCCTGTTTTTAGTGCACAAAATTATTCTGATTTATTGCTTCCTTAGTGATCATGTGTGTTACACAGAGAAATAATCATGAGCCACTTGATATCCTTTTGGCATATGTCTTAGTTTTATATTAGAATTTCTACTCATATTTTCTATTATAGTTTTTAGTTATGTGTTGCCTTTCAAAAAACCACTTGTTTCAGCTTGTATATGCAATTTATAGTTAGTTCTTTTTGTGTAAAACAAATTGAGGTTGCTTTACTTCAATTGGTTAATTAGATTGATTAAGATTGTTTTCATGTGGACTTACTGGATCAAATGCTTTGTGTTTCTGTATGTTGAAAATAGTGGGAGACCATTTTCTCCTATCAGTTTCCTTTCTTCTAATATCATTTTTTAAATCTCTTAGTCTTTTTTTATTATTAGGTAACCCTTTATTATCTGTTTAATTTATTCATATCCATATTTTCAACTTCTATTTTGTTAACCTACATGCTAATTTTCCTCTTTAATTCTTCCATACTGTACGTATTCTTGTAGCAGAGCTATTACATTTTGTCACATGCATTGTCCACGTTTTACTCTGTCACCCTATTTCAATCTCATTCTCTATTAGTGTTTTCTATTAGTTCTTTTCTAACCATTCCTTGATTGGAAAATCGGGTTGGAGTATTTCGTACATTCTAAACCTTTACACATGGAATCTCCTAACTTCCTATGCATTGAAACTTTGTAATTCCTGTTTTAAGATAGCTGTACCATCTTTAAGGTAGTTTTTCAGTTTTTCTTGTTAAATGTACGTTTGAAAATACTGATCATCATCCTAATTCTTTCCCTTTGTCCTTTACTTCATTTATTTATTTATCTATTTATTTATTTTTAGTGTTGTATGCTTCACAGATTTGCATGTCATCCTTTCACAGGGGTCATGCTAACCTTTTCTGTGCCAATCCAGTTCAAGTGCATGTGCTGCCAAAGTGAACATTTGATTTTGATTTTGTACTAGAACCACAGAAATATCTTTTCAACCCCCCAAGATTAGTAGGAAAAAAGAAATCATCAAAATAAGGGAGGAAATAAACCAAATAGAGACCAAGAGAACTATACACAAGATCAATCAATCAAAGAGCTGGTTCTTTGAGAAAATCAGCAAAATAGACCCCCCCACTAGCTCGACTAATCAAAAAAAGGAGGGAGAAAATACACATCAATAGTATCAGAGATGAGAAAGGAGATATAACAACAGATACCTCAGAAATACAAAGAATCATCAGGACCTATTACAAGCAACTATATGCAAACAAATCAGAAAACCTAGAGGAGGTGGATAGATTCTTGAACACATACAATCCAGCAAAATTGAATCAAGAAGCAATTAACAATCTAAACAGCCCAATAACATGCACTGAGATTGAATCAGTAATTAAAGCCCTCCCGACCAAGAAAACCTAACATTTAACTTTCTGTATCTTGTTTGGTTGTTGGTCATTCTGTTTTTGGCATTCCCAGGCAATAGGAATTGTCAATGGATAAATTTTAGCTTTCTTGCAAGATGTTTTTAACTATAATTTTAAATATTAGTTCTCTTTTCCTTCTTAGCTTCTCCCAGAATTTAAACAGAACACATTATTCCTTCTTTGTCTGTTATTCACATTGCTTTTTTTTCTGTTTTGACTGATTATTCTTTTATGAAATTTTCATTCTCTCAAGGCTTTATTTAATGTCCATTATTAAGTGTTTGTTCTATTCTTCTCTTGAAATCTGGCAGTTGATTTTCCATTCATGACAATGTCTTTCTCTTTCATTTCTTTGCTAGGTTTAGTTAGCTATTCTTTCATCTTTATTTTAATTTGCTGTTTGTGTCACTTGTTTTTGATTTTTCTGATTCAAGTTTGTTTTGCTTTCCTTTGCTTCTTTGATCATAATTAATTCCTACTGAAGCATTTAGCTTCTGGGTTTACAGTCTTTATTGTATCCCATAGGAAATTGGCCTCAGTGATATGCACCAAATTCTATTTATTTATTCACTTCGTTTACATCTGCTCTGTCTGTGCCTGTTAAGCATGTGTGTGTGTGTGTCGGAGGGTACATAGGCGATTTTCCTGATCCCTCCTTCAGTGACACATTCTCCCTTCCATAGATTTCTTGAGTGAATCTTTGCTTGTTTTGGATAAGACTAGAAACAAGGTGTGTTTTCCAATCCACTTGATTGTCTTCCAGCCCCTTCATTCGTTCGCTTTACTTTCCTTGTTTTCTGTTCTTTACTACCCAGTTGTCAAGACTACTGCTTAGGACTTATTTTTCTTATAAAGAGTTTGGAAGACTGTCCCTTCAACCCATGAAATCTTTCAACATCTATTCTCTAATTTATCTGCCTCCTTTTTAAGTATATACACCCTCAGATGAGTTCATCTTCCTGAAATTGTTGTGACGTAAAGTTTTCTTAAATGTTATTGGCCTACAAAGAATATTTTCTATTGTAAAATACTATGAAACATCAAAGGAATAGTTGTTTACTCTGTGGAAACCTCATGTGATTACCATGAAGACAATTTGATGCTAATGACTTGCTTTGGTAGAAAATACAGGAGGAATGCAGAGTGATTCACAGGAGAATGACCTAAAATGATCAACGATGTTAAAGTTCTGAGAACAAGAGAGAAGGTATGGGTGCTAACAGGCACATGGCCTTGTTCTCTCTAGCCATAGCCCAGGCATCCACAGCCTAACCAAGGCTCATTGCAGATGTTCATTGTTTCAGAAAAGAAAGGCTCAGTTTTACTGCAGGGTCAATAGCCAGTTTATCAAGTGAGTAATCTTCGCAGGAACTTGCCACCTGAATGATAATATGAGGCAACCAGAAGCAGTACTAAATTCACATTTCACAGTAGTCACTGTTAAAACTCTCAAATTATTCCTCCTTGGTAGATCCTCAAGTTAAGTCTTCCATAAGATGTCTGTAATAAATTCATGCCCTTTAGTAAGGGATTTCTATCATATCTTGGTGTCTTGTTTATTTCACACACTGAAAATAAACTGAGCTAGACTACCAGCCAATAGCAAATCGTGAGCTGAACCTCACATGTCCCTTCCTGCTTATCAATATACTTTTACTTACCTAAACTTTTTGAATTATTTCAATTTATAGAGCTGTGAAGTGAAAAGTGTGGTTCTGTAAGTGTAGGAAAAGAAGAGTGGTTTGGAAAAAAAGGCGTTGTGGGAGAAGTCACTTTTATATTACAGAAAAGAACGTTCCTGATAATTTTTGTATAAGAATAGCATTCATTTAATTTACATTTAATGTGTAATGCATCACTTACTTTATATATCATCTAAAATCATAAAAAAGACACTAACATATAATCTTATTAATCCGGAATATATAGAAAGGGCAGGATTTATCCTATTAAAGTTTCGAGTTTTAAAAATATTCTAGAAAAAAACCTAAAGATTGACTGCATTTTGTATCTCCTTATATAATGCATCAAAAATCGTAGTTCTTCTGATACTAATGCTACTATTACTATACAATTTTGACATATTTGAGAAACCACTTTGGACCATTACAAATTAGGAAATATTAGAGCAAATATTCAGTTCTTTTAAATTGTCCAGCCCATAAATGTCATAGAAAGACTGAGAAACTTTCACAAATTGGGAAATAATAAGGAAATATAACAACAAAATGCTATGTGAATATCAACGTGGATCCTGAAACAGAAATGAAAGATGAGATGTCACAATGAGAACGGAGAGTAAAATAAAGCCTGATTTAATTAGTATTGAATGAAATTGATTCCTTGGGTATGATGAATGTACCGTGATTATGAATTGTGTTAACACTGGAAAATATTCTTATAATTATATGTAGTGTTTAATTATATGAAATAATTGAGAATTGATTACATACTGGGTACTATAAAGAACACAGAAGAAAAAGGGGCACAGGGAAAACAGGGCTATTGATGTGTGATTCTAGAACAACCACAGGGAGAAACCGGAAGGCTGTTAATTTTTAAATGAGTGGTGGTTAGTGGGATGGGTGACCTAACCTTGCATATGCCGATTAGGATGTCTGTTGCACCTGGAATGCCCAGTTCACCTCCTGGATCCAACTCCTGACTCCAGCATCCAAATAATGCAGATTCTGAGACACTGAAGTGACTCAAATGATTGAATGAATCCTGGTCACACTCGTGGGAAATCTGGATTGTATTTGCAATCCTTGAATTCTTTTACTTCCTGATAACACGGGGCATAGAGGGAGTCAATCGGCAGTTCCCAAATATCTCTCTTTCTGTTTCCATTCTTCCCCATCGCTTTTTGACACTCACACATTTTTTAAGAGATCTAAAATCTTTGTAGTGCAAAATCTCGTCAATAACAAGAGTGTAATCATTGCTAACAATGACAAGTTTATGTAAATGAGTGAAGATGAATTCATAAACAATTGAGGAGTTGTTGGTGCACTACCACTCCACACGATGCGGCAGCAGAAGCATTTTTAGGACACCCGTGATAGGACAAACTCTTGTGCTATTATTTACAGGATTCAAGCTACAGACATTCAGTGAAAACAACCCACAACTATCTCAATCGCTGAAAACATTCTGAGGTTTGTGATATACAGGAAAGAGAGATGGCTATCAGATGAGTTCAGAAATGTGCTCTTCTTGTTCAACGTCTTTGTACAAAGTTTAAACTTAGGACCTGGGAAGATTGGGGTCTTGATGATTCTTGCTATGTCAATTACAGAGCTGATTAGAACACAAACAAACATGCATCCTTGCAGAAAGAAAGGTGTTACGTTGGCTTTGACAGGATAACAGACATTTGTTTTTAATCCCTTAGGAAACTGGAGATGAGTAAGATTGGCATAGTTGTTGTAAGTAGAAAATTAGTATACACAAGTTTTAATTAATTCTATTATGATCCACAACCTAGTGACAAAAAATAATTTTCATATCCAAAATGCATATACCCTACCTTATCTGAACATTACACATCACCTAGTTCCCTATACATACATAATTATATGTAGAGAAAAAGAAGCAGGAAGAAGCTAAATTTTCAAAGAAGACAGTGAATTATGTTCATGAGAAACAGCTTTAAGGGATCAGAAAGCTTTCAGGGATAAAAATGTAAATGTTGAGTAAGCATAAAAAAAAGGGCCCAGTATGGTGGCCTAGTGGCTAAAACCCTGTATTTGCATGCACCGGCATCCCATATGGGTGCAGGTTCCTGCCCAGCCATCCTGCTTCCCATCCAGATCCCTGCTTGTAGCCTGGGAAATTAGTAGAAGACAGCCCAAATGCTTGGCATCCTGTACCACATGGGAGACCTGGAGGAAGATTCTAGCTTCCAGCTTTGGATCAGCATAGCTCTGGCACTTGTGGCCATTTAGGCAGTGAATCATCAGACAGATCTTCCTCTTTGTCTCTCCTCCTCTCTGTATATCTAACTTTGCAATAAAAATACATAAATCTAGGGCCCGGTGGCGTGGCCTAGTGGCTAAAGTCCTCTCCTTGAACATGCTGGGTTCCCATATGGGCTCTGGTTATACACTTGGTGGCTCCACTTCCCATCCAGCTCCCTGCTTGTGGCCTGGGAATGCAGTTGAGGATCGTCCAAAGCCTTGGGACCCTGCACCCGCATGGGAGTCCTGGAGGCGGTTCCTGGCTCCTGGCTTCGAATCGGCATAGCACCGGCCGTTGTGGTCACTTGGAGAGTGAATCATCGGAGGGGAGATCTTTTCTTTTTCACTGTCTCTCCTCCTCTCTGTATATCTGACTTTCCAAAAAAAAAAAAAAAAAAAAAAAAAGAAAGAAAATTACTTTAAAAAATAAAATACATAAATCTTAAAACCATAAAAGCAACAAGAATTACTTTCTTAGAGACTCCTGAAACTAGGAGAAATATGATTATGATGAAAAAAAAGTATTATTTGTTTCCATAAAAATGTTTTAGATAGTTTAGGTGAAAATCTAATTTGAAGAATTGTACAATTCTGAATCTATGTGTAAGAATCTCCACCCACTGAAGGCCTAGATTGGAGACAAGCCTAAAATCAGACAGCACACAACACATTCATAGCATATCTGAGATTTGCTCTCATGACTGAAAACAAGCAAATTAACTAGATAACTCACAAAATGAGCCAATCACAGCAGCACCTCTGCTGGGTCACACCCACAATGAGGACCTATAAAAGGCCTCCTGCAAGCAGCATTGTGCAGACTCAAGTCACCTACACTCCTCCTCCTGCTCCTCCACCCAAGGACAACCTCAACACCCAACACCATGTGTGGCTACTACGGAAACTACTATGGCGGCCGTGGCTATGGATGCTGTGGCTATGGAGGCCTGGGCTATGGCTATGGAGGCCTGGGCTATGGCTATGGAGGCCTGGGCTATGGCTATGGAGGCCTGGGCTGTGGCTATGGCTCCTACTATGGCTGTGGCATCCGCAGACTGGGCTGTGGCTATGGCTGTGGCTATGGCTATGGCTCACGCTCCCTCTGTGGCTGTGGCTATGGCTATGGTTCTGGGTATGGATCTGGCTTTGGCTACTATTACTGAAGACACTAATGGAGATTCCCAAACTCTACTCCTCTGACATTGACATTCATCTGTCTGATCCCATGTTTCATCAGCTTTGTACCTAGAAGAAGATGATCCTACAGTGGAAGTCTAGTATGGTCTTCCATTGCCCTAAAACCTGACATGCCCCTTATTTCCATTTTCTTCATGAAGTGTGATGAAATAAAATTTCATGCCGTCAAAATCACATGAACCATTTCCATTCTGCTTTGATCACAATGATGATATCATGTCAACTATCTTTGATATGTATATGCTTGATTTGATGTATATTGTCTCTTTACCCAATAAATTTTTAACGGAAATACCAACCTTAGTGTTTTTTTTTTTAATTTCAGTGATTTTATTTTCAGTGTTTCATGCTGATATTTTTGTTTTCAGTTTATGCTGGAATAATCCATCTGCTTCCATAGGGAGCTACTTGCTTTTACACTTAAAATCTTTTTTGTTGGGCCCGGCGCGGTGGCGCAAGTGGTTAAGTCCTCGCCTTGCAACCCCGGGATCCCATATGGGCGCCGGTTCTAATCCCGGCAGCCCCGCTTCCCTTCCAGCTCCCTGCTTGTGGCCTGGGAAGGCAGTGGAGGACGGCCCAAGGCTTTGGGAACCTGCACCCGTGCGGGAGACCCGGAAGAGGCTCCTGGCTTCGGATCGGCATAGTATCGGCCCGTTGCGCTCACTTGGGGAGTGAATCATCGGACGGAAGATCTTCCTCTCTCTCTCTCTCCTCTCTCTGTACATCCGCCTTTCCAATGAAAAAATAATAAAAATAAATCTTTAAAAAAAAAAAAAAAAATCTTTTTTGTTGTTGCCAGTTCCAATTTTGATGGAGGACTGTGGCCTTGGCTATCACTGTGGCTATGGCTACCTCTCAGGATTTGGCTAGTACTACTGAGGATGCTAAGAGCGACTTTTGGCTTTATGCCTCTGACCCTCTCAGTTTCTACTTCTCAACATCATCTCAGTTTTGTCTTCATATCACTAATATCTGATTTGTACTTATTGAATTTCCACTACCTTTGCAGTTGATTAAACTAATTTTGCTTTCCTGGATTGAACTCTTGACAATGAAGCATATTCGAGCCATATACTCTGATTTCTTTCTTGGGAAATCATGATAATTGCTTTACAGGGTATATTTTGTTGTTTACGATGTAGATGTATCTCTGTTTATCTAATATTTATTTAGCCTGATGAAACCATCTAGATATTCTTTTATTTATTATTCAGAATGCATCATTTTTGTCCTTTCCTATGTCCTTATGAGAGTGTTGCCTTCTTATGGAATCTCTTCATATATTATTTCTACCTGAGCATATCAATTAAATAGTTGATTTACAAAATTAAGATAGCAATGTTTGCAGTCTATAAGTTTCTACTTTGTTTTACGGTGATGATGATGTGTCTTACACTGGGTAACTGTTTCATCAAACAGTACCATTTGTCAGTTGTGGTAGGCATTCCCTGGTGACAGTATTTACTATAGGGTCATTTGCATCAAAACCACAAGCTTCCTGAGTCCCATGAGGGCAGGGATAGCCATATGTGGTGCCTATTTCTAGGCTTTGGGTTGGGTGTATTTACAAAGTAAGTGTCTTGTATCGGCCCTCTCCAAGAAAGGGAGAAGTCAGAATGATTCTTGTCTCCCTCCATTTAATTTGCCCTATTATGTTTTGAATATTTGTTTTTAAGAGTTAGGAATCCACCATGGGGGGAGGGGTATAGGAGGGGTGGGGGTAATCCCCAGCGCCTATAAAACTGTACTACATAATACAATGTAAGCAACAATAAAAAAAAAAAAAAGAATAAAGGATACTAACCAGCCACCAAAAAAAAAAAAAAAAAAAGAGTTAATGTCATTGGGGCTGGGATGGAGGCAATAACTGGCTAATTCTTCACCTTCGGCACCAATATTCCACATGGGCATCCCCTGAAGTCCTAGCAGTTCCGCTTCCTATCCAGTTCCCTGCTAATGATCTTGGAAGAAAGATGACAATGGCACAAGACCTTGGCCCTGTTTACCCATATAGGAGACTTGGAGAGAAGCTCCTAGCTCTCAGCTTAGGACCAGCTCAACTCTGGCCATTGTGGCCATTTGGGGAGTTATCAGTGAATTGAAAATATGTGTGTGTGTGTGTGTGTGTGTGTGTGTGTGTAAGAGAGAGAGACAGAGAGAGTCTTTCTCACTCTGTGATTTTTCCAAATATGTAAATAAATCTAAAACAACAAATAAACAAACAGGTAACAGTACTTCTACCACCTGAGAGAATTTTATTTCAGTGTTAAACTAAAGGCAGTCTGAAAGTTTGATTCTTCTTAATTGGCACATAGAAGTAAAACTCTGACTCCAGTGGAAAAAATACACAGCATTAGAAGTTGGCTAGATTGAAGCGTTTGTTTCCTCATTAACTTTATTTTTGCACCTTAGAATTGTCTTTAATATTAAGTGGAAATTTGTGCTTCTGCATCTCATGAAATGGATTTTACAGTATTTTCTTTATTTGCTTAAAAGAGATAGACAGAGGGAGGGAAGGAGAGAGAGAGAGAGAGAGAGAGAGAGAGAGAGAGAGAAGGAGAGAGAGAGGTTTCCATCAGCTTCTCCATGCCCCGAATGCTCAAAAGGGAGAATTTGAGTCCAGCCTGATGTTGGTGTTTCTTCTGAATTTCTTTTTGGCTTCAGGAGCCCCAACACTTAATTAATGTTCTGATGATCTCCCACGTGCATTAGCAGGAAGCTGGAGTACCCAAACCATCATCCATATGGGATGCAGGTGTCACAGGCATCAACTTTATCCCCTTGCCACAATTGTGAGCCCTTTCAAAATACTTTGGCATTCTTGTTAAGACACTGTGACTGGACATAAAACCTGCTTTGTAGGTAAATTCACAAGTCCAAACTGTTGGTGATTATAATTCTTATAGCCTGACCTCAACACTTATTTCTCATATTTAGTTCAGTTGTTAAAATACCATCCAACAGAGCCTGGCATGATAGCCTAGTGGCTAAATCATTATCCTGCATGAGTTGGGACTCCATATGAGTCAGTTTGAATCCTGGCTGCTCCACTTTCCATCCAGCTCCTTATTTGTATCCTAGGAAAGCAGTAGAGAATGGCCCAATCCCTTGGGGCCCTGCACCCACATGGGAGATCCGGAGGAGGCTTCTGGCTGCTGGATTTGGATCAGCTCGGCTGTGGGAGTTGTGGCCACTTGGGGAGTGAACCAATGGACAGATCTTTGTCTCTCATTTTCTCTGTAAATCTAACTTTCCAATAAAAAATAAATAAATTCTTTGCTGGAAAGAAAAAAAACAGAACTTTAGGAAATATTAAACTCTGTGTATAAATGATTTGCTAACTGTTATTAGGGACTTTGAAATGCTGTCACACACATACACAAATATTTTGTAAGTATTTCAATCAAATATATAAAAGCTAACTACATCTGGTTTAATTGATTCAGTTCAGTTATGTCAATTTCAGGTGCTGTTGCAGTGCTCGGATAGTCTAATGGATATTGATCATCGCACTATTTAAAGTTTTACTGAAAATTTATTCTGAGTTACTGCTTAGTTGACTGCACTGTTATGAGTTGAAATCAGTAATTTTTCCTGCATGGTGAGTATTTAAATAATATTCTTAAAGTATTTCCTAATTTTAATAATGCAATCAAGTTAATAGTGAATAAAGTCATGTATATATTGACTTTATTCATACATATGAATAAAGTCATGTGTAATGAATTTATCAGTGAACACAATAAAATAACATACAAAAGAATGCACTGAGTAAGTAACAAGTTTGGTTTGATAAGTCAGAAATTTTTCCTGTTTCATTAAAAATTTTTTTCAAAGTCACATGTGTAGATTAATTCCCCCAATGCCCACAGTGGCGAAAGAGCAAAATCCTTGAGCACAGAGTCAATTGAGATGACCCACATGAGTGGCAGGGATTCAATTACTCGAGCCAATAATGTTGAGTCATGGGATCTGTATTCAAAGAAGCTGGAAGAATAAATCTGAGCCACAAACCCAAGGCACTTCAGTGTGACATCCTAACCAGCAACTAAATTGCTAGTCCAGATGCCTCTCACGTTGGGTATATTTTAGTTTACACAAAGAGAGGAAAAGAGAGAGAGAGGAGAGAAAAATTTTTTTGTTCTGGCACAATGTCTCGATTGGCTAATCCTCTGCTCTGAAAGCACCAACGACCCATATGGTCATTGATTTGAATTCATGCTGCCCTGCTTCCCATCCAGTTCCCTGCTTGTAGCCTGGGATAGCAATTTAGGATAGCCCAAATCCTTGGGACCCTGTGTCCACATAGGGGACCAAAAAGAAGCTCCTGGTTCCTGACGTCAGTCATTTGGGGAATAAACCAGTGGATGGAAGATCTTCCTCTCTTTTTCTCCTTCTATCTATAAATCAGCCTTCACAATAAAAATAAATAAATATTAAACAAAACAAAACAAGACAAAACAACAGCCTTCCATTTACTAGTTCATTCATAGATGGTCATAAGGACCAGACCAAAGCCAGTAGTTTCTTTCAGTTCTAGTCAGTTGACAGAGGCCTATCACTTCATCCATCTCCTAGTGTTTTTCCTAGGCCATAAGCTAGGAGCCAGATCGGAAGGGAAGCCACTGGAAAATGTCCATACGGGATGTCAGCATCACAGGTGTTGGTTTTACCTGATAAAACACAATGTTGGCCTCAAAATTACATTTTCTAAAAAAAATATGGAAACATTCTTGCTTTTTATACTTCTAATAGGAAAAACGTTCATGTTGAACGACTGAGACAGTAACAATCCCATAGTTATTCAAGAGAACTCAACATGTCTGGCCACAATGAGGATAAATGATTTTGATAAACAGGTTCAAATAAACATGTTGATAAATGCACACTAACTCATGCTACCAAATTCATCAGATAATTATTTCAAACACTATTTATGTAAGCAAATGCTAATGAAGCACTAAAC